GTACAGTGTTGCCAGAATATGTTTTTGTTATGTACCAGATTTGTCTAAAAAATGTACCAGATTCCTTACATGTACCAGATTTTTCGAATTCTATTTGCAGTGACATTTAAATTCATTGAAGAGGAAAAAAGGGGATCTTTATTGATAACGAACCCAAACAAGGAACACAATATATATTTATATATTTTACACGTGAAAACTGATGCACGCAGAATGTACTACATCTAGTACAATTGTGAATTATACTAGACGGGCAACACTGGTTTGGCAACCTTGTTTGTGAGCGGCACACCAATTAATGTGTTCTTTGACAATTTGAAGGATCTGTTGGCGTGTTATCTTCTCTTTTTAGCTATATGTATTCGCCAAATCGTCTCACTCGTGTTAGGCTCACTTATCATAATGCGCCACAGACACAGTATACTTAGGTATATTGTGCCACAGAGACGCGATCAGCCAGAAAGCAATGATGTACCAAAAAATATAGATTAACACGAATGAAAATAAAAATATTAAAATTAAATTTATATTTTTATGTTATTTATGTAATTTTAAAATAATGTGTCTTTATGAAATTGAACTGGGTGTTCAGTGCACAAATGAACCAATGGAGAAACAGCCCCTGGTCTTTCTCAAACTCGTTGGAGTGAAAGACCTGTGCGTCAAAGCTTTAAAATGTGTTCCTGGAAAATAAGATAGCCACGTGAACTCCATCAGCAAAAAATATTGTTTTGGGACTCAAGAAGTACTACTAATCACAAAAACGTTATTGCACAGAACAAAGGAATTTCCCTCAACTTAGAGACGCAACTAATGAAACTATTTTGAATGAAGCAAAAGTAGTTGCAGAGACAGTTTTTATTTCACCAAAATTTGTTATCAAAAGGAAACCCAATGCAGATAAAAAGACGCCTGAACAACTTGAGCTAGAAACTTAAAATGAATTCAAATCTTCTGTTGATATTCCTATTATGGATTTTGTCATGGCAGATTTGAAAATAAGATATGCGAGATGTGATTTGTGATCTGTTTTCTCCAGTTTTGGCATTCATGGATCTAGAAAATGATAAACTGAACGATAAAAAAAACACCAATTTTGTTTCAAAGGCATAGGAGATTCAATCAGCCCAGTTGAAAAAATTCTACACATGAAGAGCTTCTATAGTATAGTCTGCCAATCAGAAAAGAACCCGATGAAACTTATCAACTTGATATATGAGAAAAACTTGTGTACCTACTGCAATTAGACTTTTTGTATGAGTGTCTACGGCTGATAGGTCTTTTAGGTTATTTAGTAGATTGGCGAACTCTTTAAAAAATTGGCAAAGGAGCACAATAGGCCTAAGTCATCGTAACCAATTTTAGTTATTGATAATTATTTGGCCAAAACTCTTGACTTTTCTGACGTAATTGTGTAGTCTTATTTTGTAGCCAATGTTTATGATTTACATAGTTCCTAATTTTAGTTTTTGTAACTTTTTTATTTTAATCTTAGTGTGTTAAATAAATATAGTGATCATTTTTGAGTAAAATAATTTTAGAAATTTATAAAATAGTTACTATAGTATATCCTTTATTTTCAGGTTAAATTTCATTCCAAAAAAAGTATGGGTAAGAATAAGAAATAACCATGCGATTATAATGTAACCCAACTGTTAAATAAGGGGGCGTATCTGATCCTGGGTCCATGGCCCGTAATCGAATGTGGGGGCCATGATAATAATTGTAGTTATAACTAATTGAACCAATATTATTTTTACCATATTATATTTTAGAGGAAGTAAACATACACGAGATTTTTTAGGTCATTGTCGCTTTTGATATTTACAAGGCTTTCGTATTATGTTTTTAAGCATATATTGAAGAGGATTATTTGGAATTCGATGCAGCTCATTAAAAAAAGTTGACCATCATTGTCACTTTTTGAATAATTATCTAGTTTTAGGTCACAATAAATTATGCCGTAAAATTGCAAATACCGTATTATTATTTTTGCTTCCTTTCTATACACTTTCGTTTGTATTCATTTATACAAACTCACCGATCACCTCTTTTTTTTCAAAATCTATTTAATATTTGGTTATCCACACGTGAAATATTACTTTAATGGATTCTTAGAGATCACGGTATGGTTTGTCATTAATTAAAGAATAACTACCAGAATATAAATAAAAATAATTTTGAATTTTTATTTTAGTTGTCTAGTTTTCTTTACAGGTGAGCATAGTAGAATAAAATATTATATATTTTGATATAATAAGTACTGTTGGGCTCCTTTGAGATACTCAGAAACCTCTTTAATTAAAAAAAAAAATTCATTATTTTCACTACACAACAAAAAGCTTTCTTAGGATAATAAACTGTAATTGCTGTCAATACAAATCACTGATTATTTAACACTATAATACACCGATCAATGACAAACCTCTTTTATTCCAACATACACTAATCAAAACAAACTGTATGTGAAAACGAAAACACTGAATAGTTAAGTGTTTTCGGATCCGAGACACTTCCGCATGTCAAATTTGCTGCAACCAATTCGCGTTAAGGCAAATATATTAGTAACAAGTTAGCACCGGGTCAAATTCTAGCAAGAGCTTAGTCAAAAAAGAATGAGACAAATTGGCACGTGACAAAATATTTCAGTATTCTAATTAAAATTAAAAAGTTTCCTAACCTGTTTGGCCTGGAGCCACCGCGGGTTGATGTATATGGCTTCAGACCGCACAAGTTAGTTAAGTTGGCTCCAGGCCGTTCAGATTAGGTAAATTAGTTTTTTTAATTAATCTATTTAACGTCGGTTTATTTCTAACTACAAGGATTAAACACCGACGCTGGTGAGTACGCTACCCCTAAATACTAGAAATTCAGCCTAATCCTCTGGTGTTTCAACCAGAGGTAGGACTCTTTAACGAGAAAAACATTCATGGAATCGGAACTGACAGCTTTACATCTTCTCCCCATGCTATACCTTGTACTCATTGATATAGCGCCTGTGAGCTGTGGTATGCAACTACGCGGGCAGTTTGTTTGGGCTTTTACAGTTATGCCGACTTTCCTTGAATAGTCACACACTGCTTGACTGCAGATATCGATACACAATAGTGCACCTGCTAAGCCGGTTAGCTGCCCAAATAAGAGTAATAAGAATCATGAATTTAACACAGTTAGAGCGTATAGGTCAATGATACCACATTGCCCTTGGCGATGTAGTTTATTCACTTTGATGTTTCGAATACAAACATTTTTATATCGGTCCTAATCATAGCAAATGTCAAATTAATTAAAATTTTTAACTGATCAAAACTTGCTATTGATTAATGATGATAAATTATATAGTTTTTGAACTTTTATAAATGTATTCCTAATAGACATACCATCACCTAAATTGCCGACGTCGGACAAAAACCTGAAAAACCCCGGCTATTTGGGTGAAATTCAGTTTTATCCCTTAAATTTTTTTAACAATCAAAATAAAAAATATTTTAATTTTAATTTTTTTATTTATTTAAGCAGCTTCTTTGCGATTTATTTAGCAATTTTTGGCAAAATCGCCAATTTTTTGCTTTTCATTCAATTAATCGAGTTTCCCTCTGACACAATAAGTGTCAGGCTTTCACTCGGACACTTCTTTAAAACTGCCCGATAACGTTCCCCGGACGCCCTCCAAACTAAGGGAAATGCGGGGTAATCCGGACGAATGGCAGCCCTACCTGCAAAGAATATTTAGAAACAAAACTGAAAAGAGTAAAAACGTATATACTCAAATTCAATGTTTTTGTTAAAAGTTTGGCGTATATCAATATTACCGGTAAAATATTAAAAATCTTGAAAAACATTAAATACATCATTCAGTAAAGATTTCTTGATTGTCGAGAGATAAAGCAAGGTCATAATTTAGTTTTTGCAATCAATCTTCAATCAAGTTTCACTTGTAAACTTTTTAAAATATTTAGTAATTTCCGAAGGCGCTTCCTTATTCTCGATGAAAAGGTTCTTCCTATTTTTAAAGTGCCCATCAATCCATGAGGTTAATAATTTGTAATCAAGTAAGTATGTTTAATTATATACACATACATTTTCGAAAAAATTACTTTATGTTAAATGTTTACACGTTAAACTAACAACCAATAAGGTTAAGATTAAATGAACTGGAAACTAAATAGAACCTATCTAGATTTGAACGAAAAAATAAACGAATTTAAAAAAATAGTATATTATTCAATAAGTGTAGTATGGTCCATTATACACGAATTGAATACTATACTTTATCTACAACTGAATACGGGGGCTCACCGAAAACGAAAAGTGGATTTTTAGAAAAAATTCTTTGAAGTTGTTATAAATAGAATTGACAAGATTGTTCACAATAGACCTTTTCATCACAATTTTTTTTTGTGCGCATGCGTCAGTATCAGCCATCTTTTTCGTTCTGTTTTTGTAAAGAAGCATATTAAAATAGCCACGTAAAAAAATTATGATCGATAAATATTAATTTAAGTATATTCATTTAAAAAAGAAAGAAAAAGCAAAGTAATAATAAGTTTAGTGTCTTACTTAAAAAATAAATTTTTGCAATCAATTATAATTATTTTATCTGTATGGAAAGGAACAACGAAACGGTGTTGTTATGGAGTATGTAAAAGTGACACACAGTATACATCCTTCAAAGGCAATAAACATATTATGTTATAAATTTTCCAAAGCCCTGACTGCAATACCGTAAAATATTATCAAATTATTAGGCAAAAACCATATTAAAACATGTTCAAAATGTGCATTAGGTGTAAAAAAATGCGGTTTTCGATGGATTGATAATGTTACTAAAGATAGATACTTATATTTGTTCACTACATTTTCATGGAGATAGTGGTCCAACAAGAAAATTCTTATCTGGTATTAAACAATATTTTTTTAATATTAAATACAACTTCGGTATAACAGTAAAAGGTCATGTTGATCCTCAAAATATTTAATAATTTATTTTATTAAGTATACTCGTGATTAACTTTCATGTTAAAGTGTTTTTACAAGTACTAATAGTTGGTTGGCATAATTAATTAGAATAGAGTTATAATTATTATTTGTTTTCATTAATGTTTTACACAGGTAAGAAGTATTGATACACCTAACCTCTCAATCAATCCACCTTTGTCCTTTGTAGCAAACGCCCAAGACACTTCAACCACCTTTTTAACTGCTCACAACTATGCGCTTCCACAGAGTCATAAAAAAGTTAATCTCCATCAACGATTTTTTCTAATCATTAATTTTTCTGAAAAGATAATATTGTTTTCCCAGCCATTGTCGATCAAAACAGTACGAAACTTTTGAATTACCGCTATTTTGACATGGTGGCTGCGCTTGCGCTCATCACATGATGAAAAGGTCTATTAAAAGACCTTTCAAATGAGAAGTATTTAAGCCACCGTGTGAAATAAAACGCCAATTTATACAGGAACTCGTTTATAGTATATTGTTTCAAGAGTGACGAAAAAAATGATTTTCGACGAGTAAAACACTATACTTTTTCTACGAACTCTATTATGTCATGTAGGTACCTACTAAAATGAAAAAAAAAACAAACGTTAGCAAATGCTTTATTTTGTGTTAGGAATAACAAAAAATTAACCAACAATTAAATATTTCAGAAATATTATTTATTATTTAAATATTGATTTATTGTTATATTTGAACAATTGTTCAAAATTATGGGGGTATCACACTCAAGCTTTTTATTTATTGAGGTAGATGCCGACATATTTGTTCTACTGTTAAATGTCATTTCAGATGATGATGCGCCATAATCGGATGAACTAGTAGTTTCCTTATTTTGTACAGATTGTAAAATTTTGATTTGTATTTGGTTTTAACTGTTCGTGGATTCATCAACATATCCTTCCGCAACACTACTAGATTTCCAACCACCGTGCTTTTTTAACAGAAGCAAGTCACCTCCTGCATCCACTAATAGCGTTGCGGATGTTCTGCGGAAACAGTGCCCAGTGTAATCTTGAGGATTCGGAAGCGTTAAAAACTGAGCAATTTCGTTAGGAAATTTACTGATTTTATTAATTCCAACAACCTGTCTGCTACACTTTCCATTCTGATAGTTAATAAAGAATCTTGAATTAATTTGATCCATGTTTGCGGGACGTAGGCTCATATATTTTTTAGAAATATCATAAAAGGGTCCAGAAATATGAAAAGAACGCGGAGCTTTTGTTTTTGTATTACGGATTTTAACTAACAGAATACTTCCAGTATCCTTTACATCGCTTATTGTTAAATCTTTTAGTTCGTGGCAACGACAAGCGCCAGATAATCCAAAAACTAATGCTACCTACAAATATTAGTAGTTATGTATTAAGTATTTGTTAAAATAAAAATAATAATTCCGTTACCTTTGTTATTAAATATTTATAGTCAGGTGCATTCTTTAGGAAAGTCTTTATGTCTACAGGCGAAAAAATTTTGGATTTTTGGCTTTTAAAACCATCAGATTTTCTTTTCAAAAGCGAACGTAACTTTGGATATTTACTAATATCGACATCATTTTTAACAGAGAGTGTAGTTCTTAGTATCGAATAAATGGACCATAACGTCGACGGTTTAAAATTTGAACATATTTCTGCAAAGTATGCTAGTAGTACAGTTTCCGAAAATGATTTCACTTTATTTTTTTCTCTCCAGTCCAAAAATTTGATATAAATTTCTTCATATCTTTTTTTTGATTTGGCCGGTAATAAATCTGAAGAGGTTTCTTCAGCTTTAAAAATAATTTCTGGGGGAGTACAATCGCTTTCTGACTCAGACATCATGAAAATGTGTTAAATTTAGGACGAACTGAAACTGACAGTTCTCAAAAGTGATAAAACTTCAAATAAACAAATGAAAACCAGAAAACTAGATGTAGATTGGTTTAATTTGCACTATTTTTATACATTTTTACTTTCCTATCTGTATACAGATATAAGGAAAGTATAGGAATCATGATTTTTTTCGACCTCGAGTTTTCGACGGATTTTTACGTTTTGAGGTCCCCTGAATCCGTTTTGACTATTTTCGCGATGATGTCTGTGTGTGTGTGTGTGTCTGTGTGTGTGTGTGTCTGTGTGTGTGTGTGTCTGTGTGTGTGTGTGTGTGTGTGTGTCTGTATAACGCATAACTCATGAACCGATACACAGAAAAACACCAAATTTTAAACTTAAGCTTTGTTTCAGCGTCCAATGAGCTGATTAGATTTTGGGCAGTGTCGGAACATCTGGGGGGGAACTTTATAGGTGGTCATTTTTATATTTTATGGAATATATCTGTTATTTACGTTTGGAGAAGAAAATTCTTCAAATAAAAGTTACTTCTAATATAATTATCTATAATTTTTGTTTTATGCAAAATTTTCCTAAAATGGTCCGTATTCGAGAAATTTGACAAAATGTAAAAAACAAAATTTTTTATAAAAATTGTTCAAATAAAAGTTGTTTGTAATATAATTCTCTATAATTTTTGTCCTATACATAATTTCTCTAAAATGGACCGTATTCGAGATATTTGAGAAAATGTGTAAATTTCGAAATTTGAAGAAAACTCAAAAACGGATAAAGGAAAAAACATTAAATTTTAAACTTAAGATTTATTTCGGCCTGACGTGAAATGATTAGATTTTGGACAAAGTCGGAACATCTGGGGGGGTACTTTATGGGAGGCCGTTTTTATATTTTATGGAATATATCTGTTATTTATGTTTGGAGAAGAAAATTGTTCAAATAAAAGTTACTTCTAATATTATTATCTATAATTTTTGTTTTATGTCAAAATTTCCTGAAATGGTCCGTATTCGAGAAATTTGACAAAATGTGCAAAATTCTGATTTTTATGAAAATTGTTGAATTAAAAGTTGTTTGCGATATCGATTTCTATAATTTTTGTTTATACATGATTTTTCTAAAATGGACCGTAATGGAAAAGTGCTAAAATTAAATTTTTCTGTATTTTCGTTTTCAATGAATATCTATAGAAAAATGTTTCGAGGTATATGTATGTGTAAAATGTATATATCCTCTAAACATTTATAGAGATGCTGCAATAGGTTGTACAAAATAACCGGAAAATGCCTATAATAACTAGATAGGAAAGTCATGTGTTGGACACATCAGATTTTTATTTTATCTTTAATTCAGTAAAGTTTAGGTAAAAACGCATATAGAATTTAATGAGCATCTTTTTATTTCATTATTAATAATTATAAGCTGCCAAAATATTATACGAGGCGACTGATATATGAAAATATGTAACAACTTACTTTCGTCACTAGAGACGAAAGTAAACGTTATGGGATTTTTTCTCACTAGTGACGGAAATCAAGTTTTCGCTGAAAGTATCCTGTGGCGAAAGATGTCTTTTTGTAAGAGTTTGTAGAAAAAAGTTATTGTATGCAATCTCATAATTTTTCCTCGATATTTCAGGTAATAATTCCAACGACGCCACTTTTCAGGAGGTGTTAGTTCCATGTAATCATCGTCTTCCATCATTTTAATTGATAAACACTTAAAACGGGCTTAATATTTTAAGTTTAATTTCAAAAAAGAATCGGGAACAACGAATAACTGTCAACATGCTGTCAACTAACTTGTCAAACGCATACTAGATCTAATGATTTTTAATTCTAGTGAGGTATAATTGACAAAAATCGTGTAATATGAATATATTCTCCACTAGTGAAATATGGATTGCTTTATGTTGCCTTAGATACGCATATAATACATCCATATAATGACAGTTGTAGATAAAATTATTTTCTCTTTCCCCTGATAAAGACAAAAATGAAAAGATTACGACTATGAGAAATAAAGTGAGTAAGGTCAAGTAGGTTAACTAGAACCTAATTTTATAACACTTAAATTTGCAACTATGTACGAGACGAACCTGCAAAGAAAATTGGTCAAGATTTTATGGGTATGCAATTTAGACCTTTGTAAATCAACTGCAATAACGGCTTCAAAACAAAAATATTTTTCTGAGTTTAAAGGTAATTTTTTTTTTTTTGTCAGTAGATTCCAATTACCCAGGAATTTGAGGTAACTGGAACTAGGTAGTGTAATTATGTATTTGTACAATGTAGAAAACTTTGAGGTAACTGGAACGTTTCGTAAAGCATCACAAAAACCCGTTTAAAATTTCATTAATTTATCTTAAAAATAGCCGAGAAAATCAAGATGTTAAAAATCCTCTAAGTATTGAAGAAAAAACGCTTTATTCAAAATAAGTACTTAAACTACAAATGAAACAACTAAACTAAAGTGGTGTATGAACTTATGTAAAGTACTTAATGATATTTTTTCATTTCAGGTACCATATATGATCCCCTATTATTATTTTGTTGGGGCTCATGGATAACTTTTACTATGTCTATTTCGTCATATGCTAAGATATCGGGCTTTTCAGGCCAACGCCAAGCAAACACCCCACTTTTTACCATGTGAAATATGATGATTTCTGTGTCTTTTACTTCTAACACTTTTCCAAGATACATTTCCATATTGTACCTAACAAGCACAAAATCCTCCACGACAGCCACGACATTTTCTGTATCCTCATCCGACATCAGTTCTATACAATCTTCTGAATCATCTTCACTACTTTCGGTCTCACTTTTAGTGTTCTTCGATTTTATATTTTTTTTTGATATTTATTTGGAGTTTTTTCTCGTTCGAAGGATCTATGTTTTGGATAGAATTTACTTTTTGAGCTATTTTCTTAAGCTTTGTTTCTGCTCGGGCTTTCTTTTTCTCCTCTTCCAGTTTTTTTATTTTCCTCTTCTAGTTTCTTTTTCTGCAAGTAGTCTGATGTTGTTATAATTTTTGCCCCATTGCAGATCTTTTTTCTCTTTTGTGGTGTCGGAGATTCCGATTTCTTTTTTTCATTTTTTAGTAGTTCAACCACCAGACTTTCAAAGGGATTCAGACAAATATTGCTTTGGGTGTTTGAAGGTCCAGGTTTGTCGTCAGGCATTAACTCCTTTTTACCTTGTTGCTTATTCACTATATTTGTTTGCTGTTCTTTATTAACTAAATCTTCCATTTGATGAATTGTTCCATTTTCTTCGTTTT